TTGGGACGAGTAATATCCAACAAGACTGACGTATTTCGAATAGGAGAATGGCACTCCAAAGCATCTGAGCTGAACAGCGGCGCACACGACCGCTTACACCAAGAATTCGAGACCGCTGTGGTCACAGCCCGAACCTTGCCCCACCCGTAGTCAAATTACTTGCACGTATGGACAACCTTGAGGGATTGTGATACGCGTGTGGAAACTAGCTTGAACAATGTACTCTGAATCAGACTGAGATCGAGCCCTGGATGACGAGTTCGTTCGTTAGCCCAATTGGCGGCTATCGATGAGTCCAAGAGCAACGGAACATCCCTTAGCGAAGGTTGACCGAGAAATATGAAGATTCCTGGGTCTGATGAATACGCATCCGCGAACAAGTAACTGCAATGCTTCGAGGGAGTGGAGGTCTGGAACAACGACCGCCTCACTAAATACCGCAAAGCCCGGTAACGCTAGTGTGACATGGCGACCGTGAGTCGTAGCTAAGTAAACCTGCCTGCTGACTCTGCTTTGAAGCTAGGCTCCTAAACCAAAACACTACAGACAACCTCAGACAATTTGAGCGGTTGTCAGGGATCCCATCCCTAACCACAATCCCCCAGGACTGTAGGGAAAAAAATCAGTTCAACTACTACTATTCATGCTACGACGTCCGCGAGGAAAACCTCGCTCCGGAACCCTGAGTCGGTGGTGCAAAAGAATAGTATGCAAGTTAGACTACTCAATCAGCAACAGACCCTTGGCTGTTGAGATGTGCGGACGCCCCAGAGTCCCGGAACCCAGTCTGACCGCCGCAGTCTTCAGTACACCATGGATGCCAGCTGTCTGTCTGACCCAGGATTAGGGCTCTCAGTAAGTCAAGATACCGGGGACCAAATTCCACTTGGCCTTCTATCCCCACGGCCCATTCGACTCTTCTGGTAGGCATATTATGAAGATCGTCCTTCAGTAAAGGCGAACTATGAACAGCTTCTGTGGAAACCAGTCAGTTACCAGTTGGTTTACGCGCGAATGATGAGGTACTTCACTAGCATCTTTGTCGTTTCCGTCTGCGCGTCAACACTGAATGCCGACAAGCGCGATAAAGAAACCCTCCATTTGATTTTTGCTGTAGATTAAAATGGTCACGCAGGGTCAGGTAACTCTTTAAACAGTCATCACGCCTGTCGCTACGAGGCTGGTTCTCGACCGCGCAATGGTGAATGTTGGACTTTGCTAACAAGAACCGGCCATTCGCCGCCAACACGCGCTCACACCACTGCCACCACTTGATGGCTTGATGTTCAGGCGATGGTCATACGGTCCGCCTGACAGCCCACATCCTAGTTAGCTGAAAATTTAGTATCTATATGCATGGAACAGATCGGCGACGCTGATGATAGCAAAACCAATGGGTCAGACCACGTCCCGCCCGTATATGCCGGAAGTTAACCTATCATAGGCGCCCAAAATATCTCATGTAAGACGTCCCGATACCGAAAAATCGCAACCCAGCACAGCCCAGGGTATCAAGGTGAAAATTCGGTCTCGCTTAGCGACCGAAGTTAAATGAGAAGGCAGTAGCATTCGGTCATCGCTGAATTTGCTAGTCTGCTAGGCAACAGGGAAAAACATGGGATCCGCGCGACAACGTTGCAATGACTGAAGCGGGTCAGGAGTCTCATGACTAATCTCCAGACGATTATTTTCCCCGCCAATTTTGAAAAATGACGATCAACACGGCTGGCGACGACCCGTAAAACAACTGAACTAAAGCGGTTACTTCCATTACAGGCCTCAAAGTGCCGGCTTGAAAAGGAAACTCAGCAAAACTATTTGCCGAGTTAGTGGTGGACCGCAGGGATTGACTCTGTCCGCGATATGATAACTCGGCTAAGACTGAGAGCTGGCATGAGAACTTCCAGTGCCTCAACTTACGTGGGGAACGCACCACCCGCCTCCACCTAAAGAGGAGCTTTTTCCTCATGTGACCGCCATTACTAGAGATAAATGTTCGATGCAATATAGACCCTGCGTAACAACAATGTCTGGAAAGAAACGTATTCTAGTCATTTGCCAATACTCTGGCTCCTGCTTCAGGAGTGGGTTGAGCAACCGAAACGAGTTTGTCCATGAAGACTGGGGCTCAACCATCCTTGAGCTGAAGGGAAATAAGGCAAAGTGCGAGGGCTACCGTGGCGTAAGCCCCATATACGCTGCTGCAAAGACTTCTTCGGTTGATTTAGGAGTGCAAGTTACTCCGGGATGAGACTCAACCAAAAGGCGTTCAGAGACGGACGTAGACGCACTTCCCGCATATTTACACTGGCGCTTTCTGAAATTCCGCCAAGGCCACCAGCAACCGACAACAATCTGCTTTGTTGACTTCATCGAAGCGTTCGGTTTTATACATCGCGAATAGCGGATTACGGGAGAAGACAGTATGGCGGTAATCATCGTCGTGGTCAGGGCCTACTAGCGTTCCACCGGTGGGCGAGTTCCGGTTCACAACAATCTCTCCTGACCGGTTGGTATTCAATCTGGCGTCCTCCACTGTATTGATGCTCATCTTGTTCAACTACGCCACTGACCTGATCCCCGGAAGGAACGTACGCGGTGACAAATTTTCGCTCGTGCGCCGGCTGTCTGACATCGGACTAACTTGACAATATTGCCCTGTTTGCATCTAGCCTTGACTGCCTACAGGGTTTGTCGCAGGTTATTAAAGTCGTCAAATCAGTCGATTTACCCCCAAACGCTAGGAAGATCAGTGTTTCCGAGCTACACCTATTGAGATTAGTGACTCTCAGCCTGAAAAAACTGGCGGTTTCGAATATCTTGGCTGTTGGTAAATGGAAAGAACGCGGACGGCATCGCATTTCAAATCGATTCTGCCCACGGGATTCCAACGATTGTCGTCACAAAGATCCACGTGTGCAGGTCAGTTTTATAACGTTGAGCGCTGGGCTGTATACGTGGATGAGCGGAAGCTGACGGCCAGCTCGCCACTGCATGAGCACCATCCATTGAGTGAAGTACGCTAACCTCATCTCCGACATGACCGCACTCGCTGCAACAACGAGCATGTCTCAGGCTGCTCAAGAAGATCAAGCTAGTTTGGGCGAGTTATTCGTCCTCCATCATAAGTCGTGTTGCTGTCCTCGGTCCGGCGCAGTTGACGACCTGAAGGCGTCGAAGAGGCAAGTTAAGAATCCGGCCGGACAGGGTCCGTAAAGACACGGATTTTGATATTCAGTTTCCGTCGCTGGTGGAGAACTGGTCGAGCTATCTGGATCCGAAACTGCAGATCATCACGCATACACGGTACAATTCGCGATATAGTTAAAGTAAGTTAGAACGGGCGTGATCACAGCTACAGTGACAGCCGGATGATAAGTTAGACACAAGTCTGGTAAAAAAAATGCCCCGTGACATCAGCGGCGCGGTTAGCCAGGGTCTGGCGCGCCAACTGACCAACAAAATATCGCAGTGTCCGGTTGTCATTGCCTGGCATGACCATGAATCCTTACTAAACAGGTTCGCTTATCACAGCGATCGGGTTCTGACAATATGAAATGCTAATGACACCGGACAATTTCGGCGGCCGTTGGGGATCCGTCAGTAATTCTGCATCCGGAGTTACGATCCATTCAAATGTAACCGCAAGAACCATCGCGTCCAGAAATCCCAGCTGGCGGGTGCGGGCGAATAGTATGTAGGCAAGACCACCCAATCGGGAGTTAACCTCTGGTGTTGGATGCCGGAATGTGCGAAGGTTATTCAGCCCTGGTACCCCAATGCACATCCCTCAGCAACAACGTAAACGTATAGTGCTTTTCCGAGTCCCAGGCCCACGTTATTCGGGGAACGTTCAGTGGTGAATACAGCCTTACATTTACACCGTGGAAAATTAGCCAAAGGTGGTAATTTTCGCCTGCCGATGCTCGAAAATGGCTTTCGGGCACAGTATACCAGCTTCGTCTCAAATGGCAAATTTCACTCTTTGCGACCTTGCAAAGGTAGCTCAGGCCACTCACGAAGTTTGATGACATGAGTCCTTTCTTCGTCGTTAATCCAAAGGTACCGTCAAGTAACTTCAGCCGACGATAAAGTGCGCGAAAATCCCGAGACAGTCAGATAAGGTAGGGGTGAATACTGGGTTTTCCCCGCTGGGAAAGATTGGGTTGTTGCTGGTGGGGCACCACCGGCAATATTGTTGGGACCGATAGATGCAGCATGCTCGGAGCCCTGAGAGGCACAAGACTGCAGTAAAACATGTGAGTGGTTAAGGTGCTGCCCAATGCCAACCCCCTGCAAAGAGCGAGTGCAGAAACAGATTCAATTAACAATTAGCAAAGTAGGCAAAAAGCTGGATCGCGAAAACTTGTGACGAGACTAGCATCGCGACGAGGCTGCTTTGGCAGGACCTAACCAGTCTCCCCGCCACATACAGTCGCACACAGCAGTAGTGGAGAGATTGTCTGGTAACTGAGCACACGACTAGAAGCGCTTTAGGCCGGATTCGTCGTTTCCAGCACATGCACCAACTAACGGCGCAGATACTACTAGCCTGTCTTGCGTCATCGCCTAATGTAAACGGTGTTCTGCTCATCAGTGGGTCTCAATTCGTTTTCGGTGCGTCTCTTGCAGCAAAGTATGCTGGAACACACGCCGCTGCCCGAACGCCGACTGTGAATACCAGCGATTATTTTGCTGGAGCTTATAGACTCTGGCGTAAATGTTTGGACCAAACGTGGAAGGGCTGGGTCGGAGGATCTCACTCCGGCTTTACATGTCTAGTTCTAGGAAAAAGGAAAAGCATAACTTCCGCGGACGATGGTACAAAAGGTTGCAGGAGGGAGACACCTCTGATGGCCGACAAGAGAAATTCTCGAGTCTTCAAGTGCGGCACTATCAATGCATCAGTTATCAACGTCCAGACCCGGTCATGTACGCGTCCAAGTTGCAGAAAGACGTCGTATCGCCAATAAATTTTATCATTCCAGTTCCCATTACATCTATGACTGACGAGACACAACGGGTATCCTGTACTTGTCAACGAGGTACTTCCAGCCGCGTGACTCCTCGCCAATATCCTTGACGACAATGCAGGAGGAGGCAACGACCTTGCGAGGAAGACCTTGGCGGTCGAGTTTGCAGAGACCAGCCATTTCCCCGAGGGTTTTGCCGTCAGGAAACTAGAAGATATATGCACACATAAGTCTTACCGAAATGAGCGGAATTTCTTGTTCTCGGCACAAAGCCTCTATAAGGCTGGAGTACGCAGCTTCGTTGCAGCTCTCGGCCAAAAAGCAACATATGGCCTTGCGCTGGACAATGGCCTTAGTGCACTCATGAAGTCCGCAGGTAAGGCCATTGGCTGCGGTAGCGTTCTTGAGAACCTCCCTGACAGCAGAGTTTAGATCGAGCTCAACAATGTCCATGTGCCAAAAACGCGACCAAGCACCACTCGGACGATTCGAAAAAGTGCGCCAGATTTTTATGGTGCACTAAAACACCAAAAGTCAAAACGGCCGAGGAGGGGCTAAACAGCTAAATTCATAGGAAGTTTGAAGAAGGATCGACCATTCACATTACTTATCCAGAAGGGTACGGTAGTAAGTTTTTATGCCTATTCATGTTCGTTGGCTTCCCGCTCCATGCACGAGATATCCTACAAGTCAGACGGATCGACACGTCCCGTGTCCCAGCTGGTGTAGGCTCCATTATATTTTCTTTTATTTATGGGCTGTAAATACTTAACTAAATGACAAAGCCCTTGTGAAGTCTGAGTCAGAGGATGTGAAATGTGGCGTGACATAGAAACCCTGGAGAGAGAGAGAGAGAGAGAGAGAGAGTGTGTGTGTGTGTGTGTGTGTGTGTGTGTGCGTGTGTGTGTGCTTAGAAATGGTGTGTAGGGGTGTCAGCGGTGGGTCCACGTGATGGTCGTAGTGGTCGCTCACTTGCTCGCAGGTGAGACTATGCCTAGCGTCCATTTGCTGGTACCTAACTCTCACCTGTGGCTCCACGTAACTGGGCTCTGCTCAGCGGCCACACCCCGGGCAACCGTCTCGACCGGCGGGCTAAACCAGGTGAGGGTATCCGTGCGTGCACCTGCACGCGCGGTACTGTGGTCTGCGCTGGCCGGATGGATCTTCGCGTCGACATCGTCGAGAGGAGGCTCTGCCTGGACCATCGTAGGCGGCCACCAGGTAAGTTTCCCCTCAGGTAGGTGCGTTTGCTTTGTTTCTTCCTTTTGTTTGTTGACGTTCCGCGTAGTACGCTGCGCTTGCTGCCTGCACTTTATATGCTAGTCTGTCTGTTTATAGCTAAACGACACCCTCGATGCCTGCTGCGATTGTCTGTCCGTCAGTCTATGCCACTCTACTAATAGCTAGGTGTTACGGTGCTTGACTTTGTGTGGTGCCCTCACTTTGTCTCTGACTGATGACTGTGTCCGCCTGTCCACTCTAGTTCTAAGTCCCATAGCGTTAGGTAGTGTGTATGCTCTCTCCTAATCACTCCATCACATCATCACCTCACCACCAAGGTCCCAGGCTAATTCGGGTCGTTCTCTCACTAACAAAAAGTCGTGGCCCATAGTGGAGTCCGGCAGCCGTCCGGGATAACCGGGCAGCCCTGTTCAGGGATGCGTTGCCTGCCCCCGCGAGGGGTAGGGGGCTAGAAAAGGTGCCCTCAAGATCGCTGGGAACCACGCTGTCTGTAGGCTGGCCGTGGCCGCAGACAAAAAACACACGGTCGAAACAGCCAAAACCGGAACAACAACAACAACAACAACAACAACAACAACAACAACAACAATCACTCTCTTGCTCTTCCAGCCAATTCTTATTCTTCTCCTACTCCTACTTTTCGTCGCCGCAGTCGCCAGACCGGCAGGGTGAGCCCGCTCACTCTGGCGGCCTGGAATGTTCGTTCCCTTTTAGACAATCCGAGGAGCAACCGACCGACACGGCGGACGGCGCTAGTGGCACGAGAACTGGCGCGCTACAAGGTGGGCATCGCCGCACTCATCGAGACCCGATTCTCCGAACAAGGCCAACTGGAGGAGGTGGGTGCCGGTTACACCTTCTTCTGGAGTGGTCGACCCAGGGCAGAGCGACGAGACGCGGGTGCCGCCTTCGCCATCCGGACCGACATCGTGGGACGACTGCCCTGTCTGCCGCAGGGAATCAACGACCGCCTAATGAGTCTCCGCCAGCCTCTCCGGCGAGGAGGCAAGTTCGCCACCATCATCAGCGCCTACGCTCCGCGGATGACCAGCCCCGACGCCGTCAGAGACAAATTCTATGAGGACCTGCACGCCCTCTTGGCGACTGTGTCGAAGGCGGACAAGTTGATTGTCCTTGGCGACTTCAACGCCTGCGTCGGCACAGACCATACTGCCTGGAGGGGAGTGCTGGGTCCTCACGGTCTCCGCGGCTCCAACGACAACGACCTGCTTCTCCTCCGCACCTGCGCAGAACACCGCCTCACCCTGACGAATACCTTCTTCTGTCTGCCGGAGCGAGAGAAGGCCACCTGGAGGCATCCTCGGTCGCGCCAGTGGCACTTGCTGGACTATGTGCTCGTCCGGAGGCGAGATCAGCGAGACGTGCTGGTGACGAAGGCGATCGCGGGTGCTAACGGGTGGACCGACCATCGCCTCGTCAGCTCGAAGATGCGTGTTCGCCTACAGCCTCGCAGGAGACCACAAGGTAAGCGACCCCCAGGTAAGCTGAATGTTGCTTTGTTGTCTTTGCCTGCTCACTGTCTCCATTTCAGCAATGAGCTAGCTCAACGGCTAGACAACCTTCCTATCGCTGCCGCCGACGACGACGCCGACTACGCCGCCGCAGCCGCCGAGAAAGCCTTCGTGGAGAACCGCTGGTGTCAACTGCGAGACACAGTCCAGTCGACGGCGCTCGCCGTCCTCGGTCGCGCTCCCCGCCAACACCAGGACTGGTTTGACGACAACGACGCTGCCATCAGAAATCTGCTTGCCGAGGAGAACCGCCTACACAAAGCCTACGTAGATCACCCCACTGAGGACAACAAAGCTGCCTTCTACCGCAGTCGCCGACAGCTTCAGCAACGACTGCGCGAGATGCAGGACGCCTGGACTGCTCGCAAAGCTGAGGAGATCCAAGG